GAAGGAACAGAAATTAGGGCGGACGGAGACAAAGAAGACGAAGAACAGACGTCCTGAAATCAACCTTAAGAGTGTAATAAAATCAGTGAAGTTCTATGTGAATTTTTTATGTGCTGTGTGTGTTTTAATCAGCATTAATATTCGTGTGTTAAAATAAGTGTCAAATCTTGTGTGAATTTTTAATATCTCTTGCAGCAGAATTCTATTTGGAAAATTAGGACTATCATCACTAGATGCACTATGTGAATGTTGAAGACAAGTAAGATGATGACCAAATGAAGATATGACGACGATAATGAAGAGGACAAAGTCTACGTGGATGATGTGGAAGGAGACGATGAGGAAATAGAAGACGACTACAAAGAAGAGAACGACGATGATGAGGACGAGGAAATGGCATCTATGACCAGGAATAAGAGGGCGACAATAACGAATAACATGGTAACGATGGCGAAGGAAACGAAGACGAAAATGGAGATGACGAGGAAGGAGATAACGACGAGGGAAGTAGCAACGAGGGAAACGATGACGACGAACTATATAAAGAAGACAGAATATTGTGACAAAGAAGAAAATGAGTTGTCGTCGAAGGATCAGACAGTAGGGCGAACGGAGATGAAGAAGACGAAGAACAGACGTCCTCAAATCAACATTAAGAGTGTGATAAAATCAGTGAAGTTCTATGTGAAATTTTTATGTGCTGTGTTTGTTTTAATCAGCGTTAATATTCGTGTGTAAAAACAGGTGTCATATATTGCGTGAATTTCTAATATCTCTTGCAGCAGAATTCTAATTGGAAAATCAGGACTAACATCACTAGACGCACTACGTGAATGTTGAAGAAAAGTAATGATGACCAGAAGAATATATGACGACAATGAAGAGGACGAAGCCTATGTGGATGATGTGGAAGGAGATGACGAGGAAATGGAAGATGACTATAAAGAAGAGAACGACGATGGCAAGGGAAAGGAAAAGGCATCTATGACCAGGAAAAAGAGGGAGACAATAACGAATAAGATGGGAACGACGAAGGAAACGATGATGATGCTGGAGATGACGAGGCAGGAGATAACAACAAGGGAAGTAACAACGACGAGAGAAATGACGACGAACTACAGCAAAAAGACAGAATATTACGACGAAGAAGAAAATGAGTTGTCGTCGAATGAGCAGAAATTAGGGCAGATGGACACGAAGAAGAGACACCCTGAAATCAACTTGAAGAGTGTGATAAAATCAGTGACGTACTATGTGAAATTTTTACCTGCTGTGTGTGTTTTAATCAGCGTTAATAGTCGTGTGTGAAAATAAGTGTCATCTCTTGTGTTAATTTTTAATATCTCTTGCAGAAGAAATGTAATTGGAAAATTAGGACTATCATCACTAGACGCACTACGTGAATGTTGAAGAAAAGTATGATGATGACCAGAAGAAGATATGACAACAATGAAGAGGACGAAGACTATGTGGATGATGTGGAAGGAGACAACAAGGAAATAGAAGACGACTACAAAGAAGAAAACAGCGATGACAAGGAAAAAGCATCTATGACCAGGAATACGAGGGCGACGATAACGAATAACATGGTAACGACGACGAGGGAAACGATGATGATGTTGCAGATGACGAGGGAGGAGATAACGACGAGGGAAGTAGGAACAACGAGGGAAATGACGACAAACTATATTAAGCTGACAGAATATTACGACAAAGAAGAAAAAGGAGTCGTCGTCGAAGGAACAAAAATTAAGGCGGAAGAAGACGAAGAAGATGAAGAAGAGACGTCCTGAAATCAACTTTAACAGTGTAATAAAATCAGTGAAGTTCTATGTGAATTTTTTATGTGCTGTGTGTGTTTTGATCAGCGTTAATAGTCGTGTGTGAAAATAAGTGTCATATCTTGTGTGAATTTTTAATATCTCTGGCAGCAGAATTGTAATTGGAAAATTAGGGCTATCAGCACTAGACGCACTACGTGAATGTTGAAGAAAAGTATGATGATGACCAGAAGAAGATATGACGACAATGAAGAGGACAAAGCCTATGTGCATGATGTGGAAGGAGACAACGAGGAAATAGAAGACGACTATAAAGAAGAGAAAGACGATGACAAGGAAAATGCATCTATGACCAGGAATAAGAGGGCGACGATAACGAATAACATGGTAATGGCGATGAGGGAAACGACGATGAAGCCGGACATGACGAGAGAGGACATAACGACGAGGGAAGTAGCAACAACGAGGGAAACAACAACGACGAACTATATAAAGCAGACAGAATATTACGACAAAGAAGAAAAAGGAGTCGTCGTCGAAGGAACAGAAATTAGGGCGGACGGAGACGAAGAAGATGAAGAAGAGACGTCCTGAAATCAACTTTAAGAGTGTAATAAAATCAGTGAAGTTCTATGTGAATTTTTTATGTGCTGTGTGTGTTTTGATCAGCGTTAATAGTCGTGTGTTAAAATAAGTGTCAAATCTTGTGTGAATTTTTAATATCTCTTGCAGCAGAATTCTATTTGGAAAATTAGGACTATCATCACTAGACACACTATGTGAATGTTGAATACAAGTAAGATGATGACCAGATGAAGATATGATGATGACAATGAAGAGGACAAAGCCTATGTGGATGATGTCGAAGGAGACGATGAGGAAATAGAAGACGACTACAAAGAAGAGAATGACAATGACGAGGACGAGGAAATGGCATCTATGACCAGGAATAAGAGGGTGACAATAACAAATAACATGGTAACGATGACAAAAGTAAACGACGACGAAGCTGTAGATAACGAGGAAGGAGATAACAACGAGGGAAACAACGATGACGAACTATATAAAGAAGACAGAATATTGTGACAAAGAAGAAAATGAGTTGTCGAGAAAGGAGCAGACACTAGGGCGGATGGAGATGAAGAAGACGAAGAAGAGACGTCCTCAAATCAACATTAAGAGTGTGATAAAATCAGTGAAGTTCTATGTGAAATTTTTATGTGCTGTGTGTGTGTTTTAATCAGCGTTAATAGTCGTATGTGAAGATAAGTGTCATATCTGGTGTGAATTTTCAATATCTCTTGCAGCAGAATTCCATTTGGAAAATTAGGACTATCATTACTAGACGCATAACGTGAATGTTGAAGAAAAGTATGATGACCAGAAGAAGATATGACGATGACAATGAAGAGGACGAAGGCTATGTGGATGATGTGGAAGGAGATGATGAGGAAATAGAAGATGACTACGAAGAAGAGGAAAAGGCATCTAAGACCAGGATTCAGAGGGTGTCATTAACGAATAAGATGGTAACGACGACGAGGGAAACGACGACAAAACTGGAGATCAGGAGCGAGGAGATAACGATGACGGAGGAGACGATGACGGTCTATAGCAAGAAGACAGAAGATTA